CTCGGCGTAATGGTAACAATCAAATTCGTAATTGACAGATAACTCTTTTTCTTATTTTTTCTTTCTTTTTAGTCACGTCTGGGTGAGCGATGATCTACGCATTGCACATTTTTAAAAATTTTATATTACTTGTTTCGTCTTTTTTTAAGCCTTTTTTGGCACAAATTCAATGTGTATGCATATGTACAAATTTTACAAAGAATTAATATCTCTCGATATTTTCTTTTTCCGACGAGAGTCTATCCATTGACGCATCATATAAATCGAGGATGTAAAATGCGCCAAAGTTCCAGTTTTATCTAAGAACCAGTTTTATCTAAGACTGAGAGAAGAGAGGAGGAGAGAGGAGAGGGACGGAAGGGAGGTCAAGTCGTTTTCAAGAGGTCAAATCGATTATCATTTTCTAATTGGCGACCTTACTCTTCCAGGCGCGCGAGAAGGCGGCAATACGCGATAGCGTTGAAATGCCATTAAACTGGCGCGGAAACCTTTGGTACTATCTGGAAGGAAATGAATTTACCGTATGAATGTTACATACGCAGAAGCGCTTGCACACACAACACAGGTAGAAAAGCGCGCGAAACAAACGTGGCAATGGCGAGCTCGGTCGCATTGTGTTGCTATGGGGAACGCTTCTTCCTTCTTCCATTTATGTCCGTGATTCTCATTTCTGTCTCTCTCTCTCTCTCTCTCTCTCTCTCTCTCTCCCCCCCTCTCTCGTCTTCTCATTTCAGGCGTATTTCCTCCCTTTCCTCCTTCACGTGTCCTTCTCCTCTCCTTCTTTCGATTTCTTGCGGTTTGCCAGAAAAATGTGTTTTCTTCGTCGCATTCTTGCATCTATGTTTTACATTGCCGCTGCCACATTACACTGTGCATGGCTTCATTGATTCAGAAACCAAAGGGTAAACCATACCGCCAATGTTCACGAGCAAATTGTCACGAATATACAATATTCGCGTGCCTACGGCATTAATGAAGTAGTATGCGATATATAAAAACATGTCTCTTTTCCAAAATCCTCATAATTTTATATTTTAATCGATCGTTGACATAATATAACATTAATCTTGTACTGGCCTGATAAAATTTCTTATTTGTCGTTACTCTATGGGATTTCATAAATTCCGATATAATTTTAATCGGATTTTAATCGGAAGACAACGATATAAATAAATGAAACTAAATTTCCTTTAATATGGATTCATATTATTCACTTTATAGTGTGCTACATTGCAATACAAAATAATCTTTAAGCGAATAAACATTTCGGCTTTTATTAAGATTCAGATAAGATGTTGACTGTACATCTTGGGGGGGGGTTTTACACAAGTTCTATTATACTAAATAAATTGAAAGATTAAGCATGTTACAAAGAAAAGCAATATATATTTTCATTATGCATATTTATCTGTATAAGAATAGTACATACTATTGGTTGTTTCCATTAAATTCCTAATATCGTCAAAATCTCAAAGACTGAAAATTATATTTATTTTTTTATTTATCTAGATAGTAAAACGATATATACACGATAAGATATAACGGTGTTGTTTAATTTACTTGCGCGCATGTACATATTTTAAGTTGAGAATTTTTGTAAAATGCATTGTGCAATCAATGTCTCGTAACGACTTTTTGCATTGGCATGTGTTTATGTGTAACAAACATTTCTCGTCATAAAAATGATTAACATTTATCTCTCGCTGTTATACATTATCGTTTGTTAAAATAGCATTACATACACATTCAACAAATAGAAATTTTAGAAATAGCTGATAAGGGATCGTTTCACATATTCACTCCTACTCACTTATGTTGTAAATAATAAAACTGCAATTTCAAATTTAATCAAGGGCGAGAGAGAGAGAGAGTATGCTGATACCAACATTCTTTTTCACACTACAATTCTGGTGAATTTTTCATTAATAAAGACTGCATAGCACTTTATCGAAACTGACAATGTGACAATTTACATAAATAAAGCTGCCAACTTTTTCAGAAAATTTGATAAATTTTTTCTCTATAAAGAGTCAAGTAATAGCTGTATGCATTATCAGATTTATTTTAAATCAAACTAATAATGTGTACACATTTATCACTTTTATTTTATAAGCATACATTTTCAAAGAGCATATTTTTTTCTGTTTGTGATATCGTCCTTATATAGAAAAAAATATCTATTCTATATTCCTTACGATTGTAAAAACTAGCGCTTTAAATTTTTGTTGGTCTCGCTTCATTTAGCGTAACCTATTAGCCGAAATGGCTAAAACGGCCTAATATCGCTGAATAAAAACGAAAATGGACATTTTGTAAATAAATATGATAAATTAACAAACGTGTTTCACTAATAGAAATAACTAGAAGTTACGACAAATTTGCAATAACCGTTCATCGATGTTAATCGTAATAATATTTTTAGATCAGATTGTATGGGGGAAAACGAGATAAAGAGGGGGAGAAGAGAAAGGGAACGAGA